CATGAGCTCTGTTACAACAATAATGTTTTATTATTTTTTTAGAAAACATTTGTCGTAGCTAACAAAACTTGAAACAAAATGTGAGAACTACTTAACGTTCAGTTTATAATGATACATTAGTGTCGATTTATTATTTTCAGCTAATATTTATTTTCATATTCCTCTTGTATGAGAAAGTAGTGAACTAATATTTATATTTATATATAAATATATACTAACAAAATACATATGATATATTCTATGACAGAGCCTTCCTAGAGTCCTGACTACATTGAACATTTGGAAAATATCTGCTTCTCTGAGGTATTTTGTGAATAGGCTTAACAAATTAGTTTATCAGCAATTTGCATGATTTATATTGCATGCTTGTTGCTAGCTTTAGTAGTCCCAATGTACTAACTTGTGCATGTTATTTCTGTCAAAAAAAAAGGTGCAGGTTAATGTGATAGCACTTTTGTGTTACCACATTCACAAAGAAAGCTAAAGGAATGATGGGAAAGCACAGTCGAATGATAATATGAATTTTATATGCAGCAACAATCATAGTAGGTTATGCAGTAATTGCACCCCATGTGTAAGCACATTAACATAATTATCCTGTACATTATAACCTGGAAAGATTGTTTAGGTGAACATAGATGTACACAATTATGCTTGGCCTGCTTGGATAAATTATTAAATTATAATACTTAGACTTTACTAACACAAAAGTTTTGATTTGTTCCAAGGTGGTATTTGGGGAAATTTGTGCTTAGTCTTTGTTCAATGACTGGTAAATTTAACAAACTTTTACATGCATTCAATATTCACTTTTCTTTCCTCAGTGTTACTAAGAATTCTTACTCCTATAATGTTTCCTTTCATTTGTGAGAGACCTGGCTTGAGACTGGGCTATGAATTCAGTGATCTCTGGAATTATAAACTGATTGGTCAGTCGTCAGTGGTAACTGGAGATTTATATGGGATATTGATACTTTCACTTTTTTTCACAACTGCCAATACTATATTTTATATGTATTTCTGCATCGTTAGCTTATATGCACGTAGTCAGAAATTCATTCCTAAAGTAAAGCCTCACTTTACCTATTTATCATTGGTGTGGCTACATATATCACTACAAATTTAAAGTGCTAAGATAATTATGTAACAGGTACTTCTTGGTACATGAAGTTGAATTGTTCGGGTAATCCAGAAAGTGTCATATTGTAGCTGGTTGCTCTGTTTAACATAACTGTTTTATATACTAGCTAGATAGTATATAAGAAACACATCAACAGCAATACTGTTGGATAGAATAGTGTAAATAGCATCAAGGAAGATTATGATTCACCTTGTGGGTACTGGTAGTTTATAAAAAGCTTAACCTTAAATAATCTAACTTACAATAACAAAGCCTAATCTGATAGCAAGTCATTCAGCACTGAAAGCATTTCAGCCTATGTAAGGAAATGTTTGAATCTCTGGGTGGCCAGCCACTATATATTGCTGATAGGATTTTTCTGTTTTTTTAACTTAGCGGTCATCTCCCATAACAATTTTACACATCCTCACAGTTTTAAGTATTTCTGTTACTGATAATTTATGTATTAAAAATTAATTATTCATGCATTTTTTAATATAACAAATAAAAGATACTAATTGATATTATTATTACATTCATGAGGGAGTGCTGAATCATAAAAGTTACTAAAATTACGTATTACAATAACTCCATTTTTCATACTGGTGTTTTCACGTGTGCTGACTGCCATTATAGTTATTTAGCTCTCTGATCACTTTTACCTTATTGTGAGATTATACAGCCTCTCCTTACTTAACGATGGAGTTCTGTTCCTAAGACCACATTGCTAAACGAATTTGCCGCTAAGTGAGGAGCATACTTTAATGGTAGTGGGTTTGTGTCAACCATCTTTGATGTTGTTTTAATGTCACTTTTGCACCATTTATAACATTTCTGGTATATTTTAAAATGTTTATACAATAGTGTACTGTATATTATGTTAAACAGAATAGAGGAAATCAGCTTTAATATACATTATTTAGGTATGTATACTGGTCAGAGAACCTTTCGTAAGTCCGAGTCATCGGTAAACGAGTATGTCGCTAAGTGAGGAGAAGCTGTATTCTAGTACTGTAGTAGCATCTAAACTTTATCAAATAGTTACATTACCAAAATACCAACAGCCATATACTGTAGTTTTAAATATACTGGCCACCTCCTACCAAAGTAGGGTAACCCAAAAAGCAAGCACTTTCATTGTCACTCATTCAATCACTATTTTGCCAGAAGCATTTTGCCATTATGTTTCAGGTGACTCTCCGAGCTGCAACATCCCCACCCTTCCTCCAGACCTCTCCTTACAAATTCATGAGAGTCCTTATTTTCAGGTTTCAATTATCCACCGTCTTTACAGATAGATTCGATTATCCATGTGTTTTTCGGTGGTACTAAATTTTTCAGGCTTGGCACATGATCCATAATTGGGAAACTAACCATAAGATTTCATTCAAGTAGTATTGCTCATTGGCTTGCCTATGCCTAATTTGCTTTTTGTCTTGGCTAGTTTTCCTACAAATATCAATATTTATCAGGTTAGTGTCATGATAATAGTGATATGATCTGTGAAGCACAAATAAACCAAATTCGAGGCAGTTATGCAAATTTAATTTTGTATTTGCAGTTTTTCATTTCAGTGGACCTTTAGGAATGTAACCCTTATGAATTTGTAGAGAGAGAGAGAGAGAGAATGAGAGAGAGAGAGAGAGAGAGAGAACAAGAGAGAGAACGAGAGAGAGAGAGAGAACGAGAGAGAGAGAGAGAACGAGAGAGAGAGAGAATGAGAGAGAACGAGAACTATAGTAGATTTTAATTAAACTTTGAGAGACTCATAGTCGGATAATTGATTTTCTACCTTTTAAGATGACTGACCAACAACCAGATTAGATAAGTTACTATATCTGATCTTGGGAATTTTCCCCAAGGTATCTTTATGCTCAGGTAAATGGACATACATGCAACTAATGTGACATTTTATTGTAGCAATGTTTCACTTTCCAGGAGCTTGAAAATGCTCCTGGAAAGTGAAACGTTGCCACAATAAAATATCACATTAGTTGCATCTTTGTCCATTTACCTAATATTTTGTTTGTAATTGATTGCCAAAGCATTTCACTTGCTTAACAGGCTTCTTCAGTTGAATGCAGAAGGGACTTAGGTAAATATTGGAAACATTAAAAAGATGGGGAGGTAAATATGAGGTAATCAGTCCCTCAACCTTGAAGAGCTTAACAAAGCTAAGACTTACAGATGTTAGTTCAAAGCATATGATAGCCTTGAATATCAAATTTTGAAGAGAGTTGGAGAGGGTTAGGTGTTGGCACTGGTTGTTTTGCTCTGAAAATTTACCCTCTCCCTCATTAGTAGTAACATAGTTGAACATCAGTATCGTGAGCCTTTATCATTAGTAGAGAGAGACTCTGGTCAAATGCCCTCCCGGCTTGAATAAAAGAGTATGTGGTTACCAATCATTTAAGCAGTGATGTCTGTGCTGCAAATTATGCCACCCATTAATGAAATTTTGTCATTGGCCCTTAAGTATATGTACATATAGATTAATTTAGTTTAGGTCAAGTTTATCTAACCCAGAATAACTAATGTATTTGTTGGAGTATAGTTATGAGCCAACGGGTGGTAAAAATAGGAATAATAAAAGGGGACCTTTTATTATGTTTTCAGCTAATAATGTGCTGTATCTAATTTTTTTTGGTACATATATCGGTGCATTGCAGTACACGTGAAAACAAACACTCTTATTTGGAGGATAGGCTGGTATTTCATATCTTCTTCAAAAACTATGTATGATTTGGAAACACCAATTTAAAATACAGGAATACATATTTGTAAAAAAACACATTATAGAAGTGTTCATTTGCCACTTTAAAAGTACGTGTACTAAGCTAACACTAATGGAAGATGCGACATTTTTATTTTAGCAACCTTGTAGTTCACATTTGATTTGAGATTATCATTCATGGCATTATTTTGCAGCATAATTATTAATTATGGTATATAATTTGAGGTGTTTCTTATTTTCACTGGTAGAATATTAATGTAGATAGTGATAACACAAGAAATCAGCAGAACCTTTATTTATAGAGGTACATGACCTTTCATTCATATTTAGGGAATTTTCTCAAGTGAAGGTAGCAAGTCAAAGACATGCTCAGATAAATAGCAGAGAGGAGAGTAATGTGTCAGGTGATGGTGGAGAAGTGGTCAGTGCATTCAGGCATAGAAGGGCTGGTAGAGCTACTGAACTGCTCTATCATCTAGGAATCTTGATGTGAAGATTGAGTTTTATAAGCATTTTAACATGAAGTTTGTGCTTGTTCTTGAGGATGTAGGTGAGGGGCAAGGTTAAATTGAAAGTTACTCTGCTGTAGGGAAAAGAATCTGTAATCATAATTATAGCTACTTCTAAACACTTTCTGCTGGTGTGGTCCTCTTCGACCTTGTTGAGTTCAGCTTGTTTTCAGTTCATAAGATGTGAGCCAGTATTACTATTCACCCCACAGGTGTTTTCATTGCCGATGCAGTGGCATACTTACGTTTGTTAATGTGAGTATGCCTGCCTCTATGAATGAAGGTTCTTATGTTTTCTTGAGCATTTTTATCACAATTTGTCGGTTGTTGTAACAATTTCACAATGTAGATGTAGTTGGCCCCTTTAGTTATCTGGTGAATGTAATTTAGTATTACTGCATATATAATTAGATAAATCATTGGTAACTAAAACTGAGGAATAACTTGCTAATACTCTTATTATGATTGTTATTGATCCATTTTTAATACCTGTTTAGGTAAGACTGCCAAATATTTAATCTTTCCCAATTTCCTACATGAATAATGTTCCACATTTTCAATATTGTTTTTAATGCTTTTTTCATTTTGATGTATATGTATTGTGCTTAGTAGTATAAGTTTTTCTTTATCTTTTCAGAGGTTGTTCGCAAGATTTCCGACCTCTCATGGCGTCTGAAAGGCTTAAGCGAGAGTGTGGGTGGGGAGCGAGGATCATTGGCTTCTCAGAGTTCCAGCTCTAGTTCCCAGGCTGCTATCATCTCTGCAGCCCTCTCTCACCATCCTCTCTCTAACACCTCACTTACACCCACCACTAATTCCACCACCCAGGTACCTAACAACTACTCACAGCCTCCCGTTATTAAGATAGTCAGTGAACCTTCAGTAGGGATGGCATGTGATATTACTAATGATGGTAAGCATGGCATGATGCAACAAAACTCACTTCCTTGGCTTGATTATAATGCAGCTTCACCTCACAGTACTCTAGGCTCAACTTCATCCTCTGGGAGCTCAGGTTATGGAAGTTTAACCCGTTCATATCAAGCAAGTAATCTGGGTGATGCTGAAGATACAGTTGGGAGAACAGTTGAAGAAAGCTGCCCAACTGAGTCCAGTAAATCTGTGACAAAGCCCTGCACTGTATCTCAGCAGTCTTCTCCTTCAAATCGAAAAAAGAAAAAATCTGGCTTCTTATTTGGTTTGACTTCTTCTTCCTCATCTCCTTCACTCTTTCCTTCTATGACTGAAGCTGCCGCTGAACTAACTCCAACACGTAAAATTGGCCAAACAACCATTTACCCTGAGAGTCCCCGACCCCCACCTCACAATGATCACGCTTCTTCACGGTCTCAGTTAACCGTTCCAAGTACCACACTAATCCCTCAACCTAATACACCTCTCCAGGGACGCCACAAAGATTCCATTCTGCACCATATCCTACCTAGTCGTCTGTACCACTCTCCTCGTCCCCTTCGCCGAGGATCCTCTGCTGAGAACGTGACTCAACCGCTCGTCACCCCTATCTCCCCTTCCACCTTTGACACCCAGAAGGTCGTGAATAATGGCACTTTGAAGAGAGCTAGAACCAGCAGGGACCAGGTAGGGGTGCTGCTTTGCACTCCTCTTTGTAGAAAAAACAGATGTTTTCTGAATTTTTGAGTTTTGCAAAGAAATGCATTTCTTTTAGTGAATTTTCTTACCATCTGTAAATATATTTGAATTCATAGCCAATAGGTAATTCATCATTTTTTATTGCATATTGTATTTGAGGTATACAGTACCCTGCATGGTATTGTTGATTTTATTATTGATGCTACGATCTTAAAGTAATGTGCAGTACAATAGTTTCTCTGAAAGCTAGTTAAATTAGTATGATTTTAATATTTTCTTTAAAAAGAAAAGGAAAATAGTATTATAAACTACTGGTTCGTGGAATTGTTAAATAGAGCATTAATTAACTAATATTTTTATTAGCTCAGTGTGAGAATGCACGCACATACTGATGTTGAAAAGGGTTATCATTACAAGCCATTTCTTGATTTCCTTGCTAACTTATTTGTACGTACGGGTCAGAAGTTTGTTTAAATTTCCAGTTTTTTTTTGTGGAATTGATTAGCTATTAATTCACTGTTGAAAAAATCCCTTTATAATGTAAGTGTTAAAGATATTAAGTCTTCTTGCCAAACTGTGCAGTGGCTGTCTTCAAGCCCATAAATTTAATCATGAAACTTTTTTATCTCTCTAAAACTTTTTTATTTCCAACAAAATTGCTGTAAAGTCTTGCCCATTTTCTTATTTGCTGTCTTCCATTCTTCACTATTGTTAAGGAAGTATTTATTTGTAAAGGATATTCTGCCAGAATTTTTTTTAGAATACTGAATTAGTTTTGGTACTAAACTTCTGCAGCAGAAGTTTTAACAAAATTGGCTTAAAAATAAGAGAAAAGATCATTGCAGTTTACCCTTAATCACATGGCAACTCTTTGACCAATAAGTTAAATACATACCACAATCAATACATTTTAATAAATGCCATTTAACCTACTCTTATTTTCAAGGCAAAAATTAGCAAATAATGTAGTTCTACATACAAAGAGTATGATTTTTATCAATGTCAGCATTTGCTATAATTAAAAATTCACTTAAGACAGAGTAATTTGTTTATCAAGAATATTTAACTCTGTGAAGAAAGTGATACAGCTTACTTATGGGTGTTGTGTATTATGGTTGTTGTGTGTTGTGGTTGTGTGTTGTGGTGTGAGTTGTGGTTTGAGTTGTGGTGTGAGTTATGGTTGTTGTGTGTTGTGGTTCAGTTATACTTGGTGAAGATTTTCATGTACTCAGCAGAGCATAAGACATAATTTGAAGGTATTAATTCATATCTTTCACGTTTTCTTTTGCGTATTTTGTCAGAATGGCACAACACTAATGAGAATTACTCCAAAAAATAAAATATATAGACTATGGTATAACAAATTTGTTCATTTGGGTGTGTGAGATTGGTATTTGTCATCATTCCTACAAGTTTTATTTAAGGTTTTTATATAAGTTAACCATTATTAATAAAGTAAATTGAGAACAGTCACTAATACAATTTAATAAATTAAAGCTTGTTGCAAGATCACTTATTTCACATAAATGAAATATTATTTATTTATTTTTTTTTATTATCACACTGGCCGATTCCCACCAAGGCAGGGTGGCCCGAAAAAGAAAAACTTTCACCATCATTCACTCCATCACTGTCTTGCCAGAAGGGTGCTTTACACTACAGTTTTTAAACTGCAACATTAACACCCCTCCTTCAGAGTGCAGGCACTGTACTTCCCATCTCCAGGACTCAAGTCCGGCCTACCGGTTTCCCTGAACCCCTTCATAAATGTTACTTTGCTCACACTCCAACAGCACGTCAAGTATTAAAAACCATTTGTCTCCATTCACTCCTATCAAACACGCTCACGCATGCCTGCTGGAAGTCCAAGCCCCTCGCACACAAAACCTCCTTTACCCCTTCCCTCCAACCTTTCCTAGGCCGACCCCTACCCCGCCTTCCTTCCACTACAGACTGATACACTCTTGAAGTTATTCTGTTTTGCTCCATTCTCTCCACATGTCCGAACCACCTCAACAACCCTTCCTCAGCCCTCTGGACAACAGTTTTGGTAATCCCGCACCTCCTCCTAACTTCCAAATTACGAATTCTCTGCATTATATTCACACCACACATTGCTCTCAGACATGACATCTCCACTGCCTCCAGCCTTCTCCTCGCTGCAACATTCATCACCCATGCTTCACACCCATATAAGAGTGTTGGTAAAACTATACTCTCATACATTCCCCTCTTTGCCTCCAAGGACAAAGTTCTTTGTCTCCACAGACTCCTAAGTGCACCACTCACCCTTTTCTCCTCATCAATTCTATGATTCACCTCATCTTTCATAGACCCATCCGCTGACATGTCCACTCCCAAATATCTGAATACATTCACCTCCTCCATACTCTCTCCCTCCAATCTGATATCCAATCTTTCATCACCTAATCTTTTTGTTATCCTCATAACCTTACTCTTTCCTGTATTCACTTTCAATTTTCTTCTTTTGCACACCCTACCAAATTCATCCAGCAATCTCTGCAACTTCTCTTCAGAATCTCCCAAGAGCACAGTGTCATCAGCAAAGAGCAACTGTGACAACTCCCACTTTGTGTGATTCTTTATCTTTTAACTCCACGCCTCTTGCCAAGACCCTCGCATTTACTTCTCTTACAACCCCATCTATAAATATATTAAACAACCACGGTGACATCACACATCCTTGTCTAAGGCCTACTTTTACTGGGAAATAATTTCCCTCTTTCCTACATACTCTAACTTGAGCTTCACTATCCTCGTAAAAACTCTTCACTGCTTTCAGTAACCTACCTCCTACACCATACACCTGCAACATCTACCACATTGCCCCCCTATCCACCCTGTCATACGCCTTTTCCAAATCCATAAATGCCACAAAGACCTCTTTAGCCTTATCTAAATATTTTTTTATTATCACACCGGCCGATTCCCACCAAGGCAGGGTGGCCCGAAAAAGAAAAACTTTCACCATCATTCACTCCATCACTGTCTTGCCAGAAGGGTGCTTTACACTACAGTTTTTAAACTGCAAACACCTGGTCCACACACCCCCTACCTTTCCTAAAGCCTCCTTGTTCATCTGCTATCCTATTCTCCGTCTTACTCTTAATTCTTTCAATAATAACTCTACCATACACTTTGCCAGGTATACTCAACAGACTTCTTCTTCTTCTTTCAACGTACCAGCCGTATCCCACTGAGGTGGGGTGGCCCAAAAGAAAAAACTGAAGTTTCTCCTTTTAAATTTAGTAATATATACAGGAGAAGGGGTTACTAGCCCCTTGCTCCCGGCATTTTAGTCGCCTCTTACGACACGCATGGCTTACAGAGGAAGAATTCTGTTCCACTTCCCCATGGAGATAAGAGGAAATAAACAAGAACAAGAATTAGAAAGAAAATAGAAGAAAACCCAGAGGGGTGTGTATATATATGCTTGTACATGTATGTGTAGTGTGACCTAAGTGTAAGTAGAAGTAGCAAGACTTACCTGTAATCTTGCATATTTATGAGACAGACAAAAGACACCAGCAATCCTACCATCATGTAAAACAATTACAGGCTTTCGTTTTACACTCACTTGGCAGGACGGTAGTACCTCCCTGGGCGGTTGCTGTCTACCAACCTACTACCTACAACTCAACAGACTTATCCCCCTTTAATTTTTGCACTCTCTTTTATCCCCTTTGCCTTTATACAAAGGAACTATGCATGCTCTCTGCCAATCCCTAGGTACCTTACCCTCTTCCATACATTTATTAAATAATTGCACCAACCACTCCAAAACTATATCCCCACCTGCTTTTAACATTTCTATCTTTATCCCATCAATCCTGGCTGCCTTACCCCCTTTCATTTTACCTACTGCCTCACAAACTTCCCCCACACTCACAACTGTCTCTTCCTCACTCCTACAAGATGTTGTTCCTCCTTGCCCTATACACGAAATCACAGCTTCCCTATCTTCATCAACATTTAACAATTTCTCAAAATATTCCCTCCATCTTCCCAATGCCTCTAACTCTCCTCTCCTATTTTTAACTGACAAATCCATTTGTTCTCTAGGCTTTCTTAACTTGTTAATCTCACTCCAATGAAATATGTATATAAAAACTGGCACCTTTATCTTGGCTACCTTTGGCTCCCTAGGTGCTGGGTTATGGGTGTTGCCAGATAATAAAATGCCGACTCATGAAATTGTAATAAAGTGATTGTAAACAAACCACAGAACTGGTGGGGTTAGAGCCCCATGGCAAGCGAGTCATAAAACTCCAGATCTGGCCTGGAGTTTTACGACTCATTCGCTATGGGTTCTAACCCCACAAGTTATGTGGGTAATAAAATGCTGGAGTGTAGATGTTTAACAGTACTTTCCAAACCACAGTAATCCAAGACTTCAATCTCTCGTCGGCTGTTACTATTATTGTTTTGCACAATTGGTAATCTGTAATTATCATAAGAAAATGCTTATTTTCATTGGGGTCTTATTTAATAATGCTATCTAAAATCGAGAAGAATAGGACGTTCTCTTATATCAGGACCTTTCTAATAGATAATCATGGTGTTTTGTTAATTCCTGAAAACAACTTTTAAGAAAATGTGTGTGCATTGGGCCAAAACATCCTTTCTTAAGTAAAGCAGGAAGGCAGGTTGCACTGTACTGTAACAGCATTTTGGAATGTGCTTATGATTCAGATTTATCATAACAAGATCTCTATAGGCAAATATTTAACCCCTTCACTGTCGAGACCCCTGCTCACAAACTTGCTCTGTCGAAGAATTTAAAAAAAAAAAAATTTTCTTATGAAATGATAGAGGATCTTATTCCCAATGGTAATGTCACCAAAAGTACAAAATTTGATTGAAAACTTATGGACTTATGCTCTTGCGAAGATAGCGGTCTCGGCGATATATATGCATCAGCGATTTGGCCCACTTTGAGCCCTATTTTCGGCCAATTCCGTTGTTCCAGTCGACCAACCTCATAGCTATTTCACTAGATCTCCATTTGTTCTATCGATTGAGTACAAGAAACCACCCATTTACCAATTTCAACTACCCAATAAAATGGTCAGAAATTGGCAATTTGGCCAATTTCACACAAATTTCAAAAGATGCCAATTTTAAAATAGGGTCCAGAATAAATTTTCAGTGCAGACATTTCTGGTACTAAAATAACATTTTCTCTGTTCATTAGTCATCTTTCCAGGCCCCTCTTATATTACTCTTGCTTTCCATTTTGAATTTTTATTCACACAAGAAACAGATGATTTACTGTTATACAAACTACTGCATTATTGTAATAATTGTAGAAATAATGTCATCCCATTCGTGACTGCGTATTAGATTGGCCAGTTGGACACGTTTTGGATGGTAACGTCATTTGTTTACTTTTGAACATCGGCAAAAATCGAACATTTCTGCTACTTTGAGTTCAATTTCAAGATACTTTTCATCATGAAACCAATCAAAATCATCTCTATTTCTGTAATATATCTTCTGTTCTATCAAATGAAACAAAGAAAATGAGAATGCATATGAAAATACACCTCAAAGTTGGCATTTTAAACCAAAAACACTGAGTTTTGTTTTTCTTTTTATGCACTGCATGCTGCAGGATTTTTTTTTATACTGTGCACACTGACCACGCAGACCCATTCTCTCACATGTAGGTCTACCAGCTTTCTCCCGCTAGATTTGAAGCCGCTAGAATTTTGGCATAATACTATGGCACCAACACTGGCTTGCAAGCCGTAGTACTATGGCACTGACAGTGAAAGGGTTAAATTTCATTAAATTCCTAATCATATTCTTTGAGAATCACTTTCCAGTCATTTTTTTTTTTTTTTTTTTTTTTTAACAAGTCGGCTGTTTCCCACCGAGGCATGGTGACCCAAAAAGAAAGAAAATCCCCAAAAAGAAAATACTTTCATCATCATTCAACTCTTTCACCCCACTCACACATAATCACTGTTTTTGCAGAGGTGCTCAGAACTCAACAGCTTAGAAGCATATACGTATAAAGATACACAACATATCCTTCCAAAATGCCAATATCCCGAAACCCTCTTTTAGAGTGCAGGCATTGTATTTCCCATTTCCAGGACTCGAGTCCGGCTGTATAAAAATAACCAGTTTCCCTGAATCCCTTCACTAAATATTACCCTGCTCACACACCAACAGATCGTCAGGTCCCACATACCATTCGTCTCCATTCACTCCTATCGAAGACGCTCATGCACGCCTGCTGGATGTCCAAGCCCCTCGCCCACAAAACCTCCCTTACCCCTTCCTTCCAACCTTTTCGAGGATGACCTCTACCCCGCCTTCCTTCCCCTACAGATTTAAATGCTCTCTATGTCATTCTACTTTGATCCATTCTCTCTAAATGACCAAACCACCTCAACAACCCCTCTTCAACCCTCTGACTAATATTTTTATTAACTCCACACCTTCTCCTAATTTCCACACTCAGAATTTTCTGCATAATATTTACACGACACATTGCCCTTAGACAGGACATCTCCACTGCCTCCAACCGCCTCTTCGCTGCTGCATTCACAACCCAAGCTTCACACCCATTTAAGAGTGTTGGTACTACTATACTTTCATACATTCCTTTCTTTGACTCCATAGATAATGTTTTTTGTCTCCACTGCACCACTGTTTTTTGTCTCAATGCACCATTCGCCTTTTTTCCCTCATCAGTTCTATGATTAGCCTCATCCTTCATAAATCCATCTGCCGACACGTCAACTCCCAAGTATCTGAAAACATTCACTTCTTCCATACTCCTCCTCCCCAATTTGATATCCAATTTTTCTTTATCTAAATCATTTGATACCCTCATCACCTTACTCTTTTCTATGTTCACTTTCAACTTTCTACCTTTACACACACTCCCAAACTCGTCCACTAACCTTTGCAATTTTTCTTTAGAATCTCCCATAAGCACAGTATCATCAGCAAAAAGCAACTGTGTCAATTCCCATTTTGTATTTGATTCCCCATAATTTAATCCCACCCCTCTCCCGAACACCATTTACTTCTTTTACAACCCCATCTATAAATGTATTAAACAACCATGGCGACATTACACATCCCTGTCTAAGACCTACTTTTACCGGGAAGTAGTCTCTCTCTTCTACACACCCTAACCTCAGCCTCACTATCCTCATAAAAGCTCTTTACAGCATTTAGTAACTTACCACCTATTCCATATACTTGCAATATCTGCCACATTGCTCCGCTATCCACTCTATCATATGCCTTTTCTAAATCCATAAATGCAATAAAAACTTTCCTACCTTTATCTAAATACTGTTCACATATATGCTTCAATGTAAACACTTGATCCACACATCCCGTTCCCACTCTAAAACCTTCTTGCTCATCCGCAATCCTACATTCTGTCTTATCTCTAATTCTTTCAATTATAACCCTACCGTACTCACTGATAATTAAGTTCTATCTACACAAAGTGACATACAGTAAAACGATCTTAGTTTACATAAAAGCAGTAAATATTAAAGGAAACTTATTCTTTTCATAACATTATTACAATCACATGCTGATTCTAATTTAGCGGTCAGTATGATCTTTATCTATATGTATATTTTTTTTACAAGATTTTTCAGTTTAGCAATCAAGTTATTTATGAATAATCTGAAGCCAGGATAAAGATTTGCTATTTCTCATAAATATATAATCTACTACAGATTTTAAATGGTCCTGAAACTGGAATGCCGCGATGTGGTTCATTGGACTCTCTGCGAGATGGCCCTCACATAACACACGATGATGGTGAGTTACTTTTTATGGTTTCACAAAATACAAATTAATTGATATAAGAGATTTTTTAATATGTAATGTTACTGCTTACTTAGGCTCAAATAATTTAATTTAAAACAAATAGAATATTTATATTTATTGATCTTACAACAAAAGGTTTATATGGGGTTTGAGCTATAATACTGTTACCCCTTCACATCATCTGGTATATTAACTCGTAATAAGTGTCGAATAATAATAATAAAACAAAGCACTAAACCCAAAAGGGTCATACAGCAGTAATAATTATCGGAATGCTGTCATAATTGGTTTTGCGCTGGAACATCTGTATGAATTTATATGACTTTAGGTCTGGTCTCCATTTGCCACTCTACTGTACAAAGGTGCAAAGAGAAATCTATTATGCAGTTGGGTATTCTGCTGGGTCATATGCAGTATGTTTTCATTTGATGATATTGTATTTCCACAGCTTCCCTCTCCCCCAACTCAGACTTGATTCAACCAGACACATTTATTATCGTCACTGTATCTTTTTTTATTTACTAGTTACATAATCTATATAAATGCTTCTTTATGTTTTATTAACAAAATATTTCTGCTTAGGGTCAGTGATGCATGACCCATAAAAGCACTTTTATTTATATACTAATAATTTAACACACGAGTAAAAAACCTATGTGTGTGTGTGTGCTGTCTTCTCTCTCTCCTATTATTTTCATAACTTCTTATACTGTACATAGTGCCTTGCATCATCTGTCCTGGGCTGTTATTTTGAGGGAATGAGGTAAATGCTGCACCATAGCTCTGTTAACCATTCTAATAGTTTTGCACAGTTCACACTGCTTATTTTTTTTTTTTCGACATAGACACATACTGCAGTAGTATAAATGCATGTCTGTGTATTATGGCCTCTGCTTTCATCCATTGTCTTAGTATGAGCCAAAAGCTGCCTAATTTTCATAAAATTTATGTAAGGTAGTTAAGAGGGGTTATCTGGGAATATTTTCCATAATTCTTTCCAGAAATGATGATTATGGTGTCAATGGACTTCTTTTATATATATATATATATATATATATATATATATATATATATATATATATATATATATATATATATATATATATATATATATATATATATATATATAATTTTTTTTTTTCAACAAGTCGGCCGTCTCCCACCGTGAATGATATGAAGTTCATGTTTTCTCTGAGGGAGCAAGGACATTCATATATTATAATTTATTTTCTTGTTTCTATTAGATATATAGCAAATATCTTCACATTTATGCATTGATGACTGAGTTGTATGAGTTGTGTATTGTTTTATGCCAAAATATGCAAGATTTAATAGTGAAGAAAATATAATATATAGAAAAAATGTACATCTTTTAAAATTTCATTCAGATTATAATAGAAGTTTTCATTCAAGATTACTTTATAGCATTATATGTTCAGTATGTTAAATTTCCCAGTTTAATGTATGCAATCACAATATCAGAGTTAGGCTTAGTGTGCAATTATCAAAATTTGTATTGTGGTTTTTATCTTGTTCATGATAAAAAACAGCACTTCTGTCAATGGATATTCAAATTTTTTGTTTGTATTATTAAAACTTTTGTCAATTTCACATACATTTATGTATTTTATTAGGGTATTGCTTGCAAGAGAGACAGTACACACTTTTATTCTTTTTACTGAAAAGGAGTTTACCTTGGGTTGAGGTTTAACTATTACTTTGTTGATAATGTTACTTTGATAATGGTACTTTAACTTCATGCTAAATTTAGGCCCAATTTTTGCCGAGAATAAGAAACTGTTTTTCTCCATTAGGAAGTGAAACAGAATTCTTCCTCCATAAGCCATGCGTGTTGTGAGGAATGACTAAAATGCCGGGAGTAAGGGGCTAGTAACCCCTCTTCCTGTATACGTTACTAGATTTAAAAAGAAAAACCTTCATTTTTCGTTTTAGGTCACCCTACCTTGGTAGGATATGGCCGGTTTGATAAAAAAAAAAGTGTTTTGGAGAGAGACCAGTAAATTGAGGAAGCCTGGAAAGCAAATGGACTGGGGAGATGTTAGATGGGAAGGTCAAGATACTGGGAAGAAGGCAAGGTAAAGGTACAGGTCCGTCATCACAAATCCAGCAATCAGTTATTCGGTTCCTTCAGTTATTCGGCACTAATTTTGGCTAGCATAATTTCAAATTTCCAGGGTTGCCACACCAACCTGCTGGTACTGTTTGGTGGTGCTACTTGCTGCATAAGTCATTCCAATTTCCTTTTGTCCATTTATTGTTTTAACCTGCTTACTTTTAGCCCTAGCCATGGTTCCAATGAATAAAAGAAATACTTCTCATTATGTAAAGCACCTACACAGTACATTATCCATTAAAGATAAGGTGACTTTGAAGCCACTGTTGGTTGCCATGAGCTCAGTCTCATCAAGCAGGAGAATATGCTTTATTATTATGCTAAAATCAACAATACAGCTTATTTGCCTATCACAATTGATCTAATATGACATAAACAATATAAATAACATAAAACATGTTAAATACTCCAGAATAAATAATATTTGGCATAACACCGAGCAGTTCGACGAAGGTATGAAGAGGATATATGGTATACAAATACCATTCTCCTATCCCTGTCTTGGGGGCTTATATTAGAGAAAACAGAGTATAGCACAGGGCTAACTGATATACACTCGTACTGCACCATAAACCTGAAACAAAGTTATTTTCTCTATATAGATTATCACACATAGCAGCATATGTGTAGAGAACCTAGGATAACCCAAAATAGTCAACGTGGCTTATTTTTAGTACCTGGCTCGGATTAGCCATATGTGATTTTTGGTAAATATTCGATTCCCAGCCAGGGTAGAAACATTAGGCATGTTTCTTTACACCTGTTGTCTATGTTTACCCATCAGTAAATGGGTACCTGGGTGTTAGCCTGGGACACTGACCTAATTTTCTTGAAATACTCTGCATAATAAGCAGCTTTCTATACAGTAGTATGTCACTGATGTCAGCTAGGCCTGTATACTTTGTACATGTACGTGTAGTAAATAAAGATATTATTATTATTAATTATATTATTATTTTCTCAGTTGTTTGTTGGGTTATCTTATTCAAACTTGGGCAATGTATGATGGAAAGATACTTCTTCACGTACACCAAAAATGAAAGAAATCAGATCATAAATAGCGGAGTTCACTTCTCAGCCATTAGCGGCTGCTTAGCGGTATATTTTTGTATGTTTTTATGATTATATTCTCATTTTTTCGGTCTCATTTGATAGAATGAAGTATATATTACAGAAATAGATATGATTTTGATTGCTTTCATGACGAAAAGTACCTTGAAATTGCACTCACAGTAGTGAAAATGCTCTGTTCTTTAGCAAAGCTCAAGAGTAAACAAATGACGTCACCGTCCAATACCTGTCCGCCTGCCAGTCCAAATTCCAATACGTAGTCTGGGTTGACATTATTTATACAATTATTATAATAATGCAGTAGTCTGCATAACAGTAAATCTTCTATTTTTTTTGTGTGAATAAAAATTCCAAATGGTAAGCAAGAGTAATATGAGAGGGGCCTGGAGCCATGACTAATGAACAGAGAAAATGTTATTTTAGTGCCAGGAATGTCTGCATTGTTTATTCTGGACCCTATTTTGAAATTTGTGTGAAATTGGCCAAATTGCCAATTTCTGACCACTTTATTGGGTAGTTGAAATAAGTGAATGGGCAGTTTCTTGTACTCAGTTGACAGACTAGAAGTAAATAAGTTTATTCAGGTATACACAAATACAGTACATAGATTATCATACATAGCAGTGTATGTATAGAGAACCTAGGATAACCCAGAAAAGTCAGACAAAGTGACTTATTTCCAGTACCTGGCTTGGGCTTGCCATATATGATTTTTGGTAAATATTTTTTTTTCTCGGTTGTTTGTTGGGCTATCTCATTGAAACTTGGGCAATGTATGATGGAAAGATGCTTCTTAATGTACAACAAAAATAAAAAAGACAGATGATAAATAAGGAAGTTCACTTCTCGGCCGTTAGCCGCCTCTTTGCAGTATATTTTCGTATGGTTTTTATATTTGTATTCTCATTTTTTTGGACTCATTTGATAGAATGGAAGATATATTACAGAAATAGACATGATTTTGATTGCTTTCATGATGAAAAGTACCTTGAAATTGAGCTCAAAGTACCAAAAATGTTCGATTTTTGCGTCGGTCAAGTTGGTTTATTTTATTAAGTGTATTCTAACCTAACTACTCTGTAATCCGGCAAACTCAGTAATCCGGCACACTACAGGTCCCAATGATGCCGGATTTGTGATGGAGGACCTGTACTGGAAAAATGGGAAAGTAAAGGTTCTGGAAAGAAGGGAAGGATATTTTGATGAGCTGTTGAATGTTAATAATGAAGGGGATGCAATAATTTTGTGTATGGGCAGGAAGGGCTAACAGTCATATATGAGGTAGATATAGTGCATGAAGCAGTGGGTAGAATTAAATAAGGTAAAATGACTGGGATAGATAGGAATAAGACAGAAATGTTTAAAGTAGGTGGGGATATAATGTTGAAGTGGGTGGTGTATTTGCACAATAGATATATGAAAGAGAAGATACTAAATTGCATTCAAGGAAGAGGGGATGGAACACTGAAACTGCAGAGGTCATACAGCACTCAGGGATTGGAAGTTGAAAGAAAATGGAAAACAGGCAAGACAATTTAGTTGTGCCAACAAAGTCGGAACTAGGGTTCGTAATTAATGTTGGCACTGCAATCTAGACAAAGATAGGCTGGTTGGTTGGTGGGGGAGGAAAGGCAAAAGAGAAGAGGATTATGGCTGAATTTTTTTTTTTTTTTTAATTTTTTAATTTTTATTTTTTAACTGTTTTCATTATGCTCAAATGTTGGCAAAAATAAGCATTGTGAAATTTTTTCTTCATTCTTATGCAATCAAATTCATTTAATTTTTT